AACATATGCATTGTAACTTTTCTACAGTAATATTATAAGAATAAAAATAAAATTCAATTCAATTCAATTCAAGTTTATTTGTACAGCGCTTTTCACGATACAAATCACTGCAAAGCACCTTTACAGCAAATTAAGTTTCTACAATATTTAGTGGTAGCTTACCACTAAACAACTTAAAATAAGTTGTTATTTTTCATATAAATAACCATAAATAAGCATTCGTTCATATCATTCTACTAAATAAAATAAAAGCCTCACAAATGGGTTGACAATATGTTCACAATGTGTTAAGCAACATAAACATATCTGAAATATAGGACTTTCTTTTAAAGTAAACACTAAAAAATGACTTTTGATAAGTTATAGTATCTATCCTACAAGTTTTAGCTATACTTTATCTGTTAATTACACTTTATGATTACCCATGCAAACTTTAAGAAGCCAACAACAAAATTACCTCATATTCCCCTTAATCGTGATTTTAAAAAATTAAGAACACACCAAAAAATGTTATTCCATTTCTAGATATTCTGAACTTTAAGGTGCTTAATTCCAAATTAACATCCAATCAATACTGGGATCCCTGTTATGGCATTAAAAGAACTCTAAAATAGGAGGTAGTCAGTGCAGTGCATATTTTGTAGCGACATTCAAAACTATAAGTTTTGTCTGTAATAGTGCAATTTTATGAGGTTTTAAATCCAACAGTGCATAAATGAGCACTAATTTGACTACCTTCGAGTATAAACATCAACACAAAGCGAGACGGGGCAAAGTCAGGCAGGCCAGATGTGGTTTCAGAGCTGGTGCTGCTGCTGCTGCTGCTGCTGATCATGTGGTCCTCATTCATGGGCTCTGAAATCACAAATGAAACACATATTTAAAGTAAATGAACATTATAAAAACATCATGCCTTGTCTATGTCTCAGCATGAAACAGACAAAAATGATATTATATATATATATATATATATATATATATATATATATATTTCTATACAGAATAAAAAATAAAATATTTATTTTGTAAAAATGTATATTATTAAATAACCTATAGTACTAATGCATATGACAAAACTCGCCACTACATGTCATTTCTGTTTTGCAACACCCAACAGGCGCTAGATGAAACATTACCTGTTCAACACAAGTCACACAAAGGGACATTTTCCCTTTCAGAGTTTTGAATGATCCATTCAATGGCGTCCCATCCCTATGACAAAAAAAAACACAAAAAAAAAACCTTTAGAGCTTCATTGTAGTGTGGTGTTTTGGTTGTGTTTCTTGTTCATGTTTTCATGTCTTTTATTTTGGAGTTTAATCATGGTCCCTGTTTGTGTCATGCTTCCCTTGCCCTCATGTATTCATGCCATTGGTTCCTCTGTTCATTGTGTCATGTTCTGATTGGTTGTCTTAGTCATGTGTCTTGTTTCCCATTGGTTTGTTCATGTCATGTGACCCTCCTTGTTTGCTATAAGTAGCCATCATGTTCCCATTGTGTCTTGTTGTGTATTGATGTTGTAACCTGCTGTCGGTGAGTCTAGTCTGTTCATGCCTCGTCAAGTTAAGTCTGTTCATGTCAAGTCAAGTCTGTTCAAGTCAAGTCTGTGTATCTAGTCTTCGTCTGTTTTGGATTATGTTTGAATCACTGTAAATAAAACTGCACTTGGGTTCATCTTCAACTCGCCTTCAGTGGACTGATAGTTACATTCATACTTTATTTAGAGTCTTGTATAATGTTTCATATATGCTATATAAAATAATATCAAACCATTTTTTTTTTTCATCGCTAAAAGACAAAACTATTAATGAAACTACTTGTTCATAGAAACAAAAACAAGCAAAAAACATCCACAAAAACAACAGGGTTTCCTAGACAGGGACAAAACCACATTATCAGTGCTTTAAGTTGCTTATTTTTGGTCCTTCTCTGATTGTGTCAGCAAGAAAATAGGAACTACTAAGTTCCCATTTATTCAGAAAATAGCAAACTTTCATCAAGGATTTGTAATGAACACGTGACACGATGACATGATGTTAGGTGGGATATTCCAAGGATATCTGGTCAAATTAATATTTTTCATTACATTATACAGAATGATTTACCTTTCTTGCATTGGCTGACATGGTTAGAGCCATCAGACCCTCAAGGTAGCTGCTCAGACTGATCCCCTTCACCGTGATGATTGCCTCTTGGGTTAATACAGTGCTGCAAAAGTAAAGCAAACATCATTTTCAGAAACTGGTGTTACTAGTTTGATATTTGATTTAACATATTACTTTCTATTTGTAAGGCTTGCATGTATGTGCATAGATATACATGCAGATATTACTATTAGATGACAATTACATAAAATACGATTACAACTGGATTTACTTACACCAGAATTTTCTGGATGAGGCCTGTAGACGAGCCTTTCATCAACTGATATTAAATTAGTTAGGGTTATCTGAAGGAGAACAGGAATTTCTTTAGTACAGCATAAAATGAAGATAAGAATTCATGTCATATCGATAAAACCACTTTCTATTAACAAAATAATCTGATTAGAATAGCTTTCAATAATTAATAGCTGTCAAATGGTAAACAAATACTCACATTTGTTGAGCAAAGCTCCATTTTTTTTTTCCTTCTGGGTCCACAATGGAATGTTCTTTTACATACGTGATGGTTCGATTTGTCCCCAAAATCTAAGGAAAAAAACATTTAAGATTCTTATAAGCCAGAGATTCTCAATTAGGAGGCCCCAGCAAACTTCCAAGAGAGCCTCAATAAGACGTAAAATTATTTAAAATGATCCAAAACAACTGAAAATCAAATATATTTCTTATTTTAATTCACTGCCTCTGTGACAGTTTTTGATGAACCAAGGTCCCCATTGTCTTGAAAAACCTGGATATATGAGGTAGTCTATAGTAATATAAGTTTGATTTCTAGTTATGCTAAGCTCTAATATATTTATCAGGTAGAAATTCTGAGTATAAAAATATTGTTTCAAAATCCTTATCCTTAATCTTTATTCAGTAAACCATGAACAACTGGAAAAACATGGGGCCTTTGAATATTGTTGTGGACAAAATATGGCCTTGGAGTCAAAAACATTGCGAACCACTGTTACGTACTGTTAGTGTTATATGCACTTTCATATTGCTGAAACTATTAAATATCGCTTCGGATTGTTAATACGATTGTTAATTGTATATATGTATATATATATACATATATAAATATATATGATATGTAAGATGTAAAAGCTGTAAATGTAAATAAGATGTCAAATATATAAATAAATATGAAGACTACATATTTCAATAGACATGAAGACAATATTTTTAGCAGTGTGAAGCATATCTTCTAACTGCTCTGACAACCCCTGGAAGCCCCCACTCTGTGCTGAGGAGCCGATGACTGTGTAGACGTCCATGTGTGTCCAAGTTCCTATCAAGAACGTCCACTCCAACAACACTAGGGTTCATTGGATTAGGATACTTCCTCATAGCTGCTTTGATCACAGTCTCCCAAGGGTAGCTGCGTGAATACAAACAAAAACACATGACAATAGATTTCAGCGGTTTATGAGGAACATCACTGTACTCACACTGACCTCATAGGCAAACCATATTCAAAGGAATTTTAGCTTAAATGCAAGCAGGAAGAATTTTTTGGCCAGTGTAGTTCATCATCATCAACGAACATCACGTCCATAACAAGAGACGCTGGGACCTTAAAAAAAGGTTTGTTTGAAATAATTGATTTCCACATAATGAATCATTTCTGAGTGAAACTAATGACAACTAAACAACAAAAAAGAAACTAGGAAATATACGGTTTGCACAATTCTGTTTTGGAGGTGTGATGAATCATGCTGAATAAAAAAGAACAGACTGAGTTTGTTTGGTGGTTTTAGTTGGTTTAAGGTCTTAGCTCGTTTGAGGTGGTCTCGTCGGCTTGTTTAGCTGGGTAGCTAAAAATCCTTTCTAAAGCAGACCAGCCTGAACAGGTTGAAATAACATCAAACCAGCTTAGGCTCTTTATCAATATGGAAATACACCACATTTTAGTCAACTTTTGAAATTGACTGACAGTCAGGGGAAAAAATCAATGTCATTAGGTTTCCGAAAACCTAAATAATATGTAACTACATTTATGAGTTTAGTTAGTAACACAGTTGTGATGAGTAGTTACAGTGAGTCGTTTGATAGACGTTTAATAGACGTTAACCGACAAGCAGGCCCAACTTAATGTATATTCGCAACTAATGCTCAAATTTGTGTTATGTGCAAGAATAGATTGCTTAAAAGCCAAATACACAACAATGTCCAAAGGAAGCGACCTACGCTGTTCCCGGACTCTAGCGCTACCAAAAGGAATCGGGAGAGGATGCTGGAATCTGTGCACGCGAGCGCTGCATTCGTCCTAAACGCTGCTTTCTCTACCTGAATATGTGCTCAGTGCTCCAAATCTTCATTTTTGCGACAATTTGAATGTGCCTCCAACCGACGGTGGACTGTAGATCTCATACACTCGTGTTTTCACGCTCTGCTCCCATTATACCGGCTCCGAGATGCTCCTCATCTAATCAAGTGCAACGGAACCTCCCTGTTAAACCAGCAACTACCAATAGAGATCAAGCTGTGTGCTACTGACGCTTGTAGACGACTTGATGTACATCAGTGTTGCGCTACAAACGTGCAAAAGTGACTTTATGGTTGATAAATAATGTGTTGTTCATTTAAACGCTCGGCTATTAGGCGCACAATAAACTAGATTATTTACTCCCTTTTTCTGTTCATTTGACTGATACATGAAAGTGTGCCACTAAATTGCGATTATTGAATATGACGCACATATTTAAGACTTAAAACGTTTGCTGTTGTTGTTGTTGTTCATATGACACTAAAAGCTGCGGTTAACCAGAATGACAAAATGCAAATGGGGAATTCATGTCTGGAATTTACATTCTTAACGCGCATGCGCATTTACTCATACGTATATTAATGGCAGAAGTGTTTCGTTTTCAGATGCCACCCGAACTACTTTACTTTGTGGCGTTATTGGTATTATTTGTGATTACTAATAGATGGACAGTACGGTTGTTATATCCTCCGGTAAGTTTCGAACAAGTATGTTGTTTTTTGTTAGTTTGTTTTGGGAAAGTAGTAGCCTAAAAGAATGTGACAACAAGGAAGCGCAAAAAAAATAATTATAGCTGTCAATCAACTGTATGTCGGATTCAGTAGTAAAGCAAATACAGGGTGAACGATGCAAAACAGTTATTGGTAGAGTATAGTAGTAATAGAGGACGGATTTTTATTTTATTTTATGCCACAACCTTCCCAAATGTAAATGCTTAAGAACAATATGTAATTTCGACTGATAATTCTAGATTTTTGAGCACAGATAATGATACTGTTAGATGAAATGGCTGGTGATTTTAAGTTTTTATCAAACATGTTTTCTGTAATTTAAATAGGCTACTACAAAAACACAACAACTTTCTTTTGTGAACAGTTTATGAAAGTTTAACATGTTAAGATCAAGGCAATTGAGTATTAAACTTATTCTTCACACTTTATCCTAAGTACAACTTTTTATATATTTATTGGGTGTATTCCATTATTTATTTTCCCTTTGAAGCTTCTTGTGTTTTAAACAACTCTCTCTTGTTCTTTTTTCCCAATAGATAAGCAATTGCAGTGCTATTTGGGCTTCCTAAGTAAGTGTATGACTGGGTATTTGGTTCAAAGGATGTCCAACTGTTTGTCCCGATCCCGCACAATCACGGCGTATGAAGCACAGTTTATCACATCCCAGCCCACGGACATGCAGAAAGCCTCCAGGCTGATGCAGATTGTCATTAAAAAAGGCCAAAATGCATGCAGTTCGTTCCTCAAATGCCTTGGAATTTGTGACCCGGTGTTGTATGAGAATGTTACAGGATTTCCAGGTTGGACAATCTATCAAAAATGAACACACTTTTGAAATAGATATTTGCTACTGTCTGAATTGTTTATTCATTACTTATTTTTCTCTTTCTTTCTTTTCTTCTTTTCTTTCATGCATTTGCTGTCATTCAGCACAATTTAAGCAAGAGGACCATCAACATGTAGAGGAAATTCCTTTTTCAGGTAGATATTTTTGCATATTTTGCCTTACTGGTGATGTACCTTGTCATAGACTATTTTTCATCTTTGCCCTGTTGTTTTAGGAAGTATCAGGCTAGAGAAATTATTTAGCAATTCCTGTTCAGTGGTTAATATTCCACCTTACTTCCTGTTGTTGTCTCATTATTGTTTGAAAGATTACCTCACCCACTTAGTATTACAGGTATTGCTGTGGAAAACCGCATACTTTACTTCTCAAAAGTATGCATGACTAATAGCCTTGTTTTGCTGTCCCACAGCCCTTTAATGCAATGTGTTGTGTGGTTGCTCATATTGATCTCTTTTGTTTTTTGTCTTCTCTTATCAGAAAAATTGCAGTTTACACCTTGTATTATAAACATACAAAACTCTTCCCTGACCAACTGTATTATTGGGAACAACAATAGCCAATGCATTACCTGTGACCAGCATTCTTTGCTCACTCAGAATGATGCAAACAGTGGTAAGTGCTGTGCCGCAGGAAATATAGGTCAAATTCTTTTAGGGTTATAGAGGTTATATCTTTATGCACGAACAGTTTATTGTATTTTTATACATTTATATAAATTGATAAAAATGGAAGCATAACCTATATAACTATTTAATACTGTTATGTTTGTAATTAATTATTTAATCATTAATTTTTATATAATATAATTATTTTATTGTTCCTCACATAAATTAGGCTAAGTTTGATTTTAGACATAAAAAACAGAAGAGTTTCTGCAGGTTTTAAAAAGGTGTTATAAAGTCTTAATTCACACCTTCCAAAAATTAAGGCCAGAGAATAGGTCTTGAATCGGAGCAGAAAGTCTTAAAGCACTGCCAAAAAAAATAAAAGCTTAAATCAAGATACGTTTACTTGGGAGGCAAATTTAGCACATGAAGCTTTGTTTTCTGAGAAATTGCTTTAAAATTACATTAAAATTACGTTAGCTAATGCTTAAAACAATACCAAACATCTGTCAGTTGGGAATTTTTCTGAACCCATGGCAGATGATCAGTTTCTCAGAAAACAACATTTTTTGTTTTATGTCGTTTTGCTTCTCAAGTAAATGTATCTTCATTTAAGAATCTTTAGACATTTGCAGTGAAAAACAAGACAAAAATACTGATTAATCCATAATTTTCTTACAGTGTGACTGTGATCAGAAAGCACAGTAAAAGTTATTTCTATATTCTAGTGGTTGGGAGCAGAGGTATTCAAGTCATGATTTATTAATGTACTGTCTTCTGTTCAAAAATGGTCTTAAAGTCTTTAAATGTACCTTTATAAAACCTACATAAACCCTGAACAGATTATTATAAGAATGATTGAATAGATGAATAAAAAAAACACTTTATTTCTTCTTCCTTTTTTTTTTTTTTTTTTTTACAAACAGTGAAAAAACAGGCGGACAGTCAGAGCCATGATCAGCTGATCCCAGTGCAGGATACAATAAGTGGCAGCAGCGTTCACATGGAGAGATCCAACATAGAGTATGTTATTATAGGTGACCGTAACAGTATGATAGTCACTGAGAACTCAGAGGTTGAGGAAGATACAGAGATTGAGCCTGAAGAGATTAGTTAAAATATGTGAAATAGTGGGCAGGAGGTCAGACCCACAGTTTTGGAGAGCTGCAGATTGTCAACTCGCCTTAACAGGCCTGACCTATGATTGTACACTGGAAGCATAATATATGCTTTAAACTGACCAATGCTCAGGTCTTCAGCAGGAGCTACCAAGCACACTGAAACATTATCCTTTATCGTGGATTTTCTAAACCTGTGTACATTGGGGTGGCAATGATATTTGATACTGCTTTAATTGCTACTGAACATGACTACTACTGACGGTTTTAATGGGTACACCAATATTTATTTGCTTAACAGAAATGTATGAAAGTAAATGTGTTAACTGACATTGCAATCAGTTGTTATTCAGTCTTTATAAGCTTTCTGTGATTATACATAAATGTTGTTTACACAGGCTTGTGTCTTTTCAGTAATATTTGTATATTTAACTTAACTTCTATATATAACTTAAATATCTATTGACATTGTGATGGATATTCTCCTGATGTTTCAATAGTTATTCTGTAATAACAGTGTATTTCTGTGTTCTTTTTTTTGGGGGAATTTCTAATAATTTTATTCATATTACTAGGTGATAAAACCTGTACTGTACTGTCATTTTATGTACTGAATAAGGCATGTAGCTGACACATTTGTGATTTTGGAGTAATATTTTGAAATAAATTTGAAATTTGAAATTAAAGCAATCAGAGTGCTCTCTCAGCTGATGTAGGTGTCAAGACAAAAATATGACAAAATGAAAGGTCTTTACTGTAAATAAATGTACTTCTTAAAATAGTTATTTAATTCACAGCAGTGTAAAGAAATCAAAGACATTTTGGCTGAAAGCCTTGTCCAAAATTAAAGAAGGTCTGCACTCTAAATAATGTCCTTTTAATTATATTTAATTCATAGCAGAGTACATACATTTAGACATGTGTATTTTTATACATTGTCTGTATTTTAAATGACCTTTGCAAATTACAAAATTAAAAAACAAGATGATTTTTGCTAATTCACACATCCAGCCAAATAATGTTTTGATTAGTTTAAACAAGAGATTTATAAATTTAAACAAGTGATTAAATGAATTCATTTGTAATATTTTATTAATTTATTTGTAGTATTTATTTTTGTATATGTAGTAGTTATTATTGTTTATATACCTACTTTTATTTTATCACATAAGGTCACGTGACATTTCCAACAAGCGTTTACATGCGTTACTTCCTCCAACTGAAAGTTGCGTCTTGCTGCCTGGTTGTTTATTTAACAAATACTAGCATAAATGTTTTTTTGTTTGTTTTTTTTGTCACTAATACAGTGAATCTCGACATGAGACTAAGGTTTAAAAACGAGCTTGACAGACACTCATTAATGAATTTATGAAAATCGTTTGCAGTCATTGAATTTCCCGCTGCGATGCGCGTCTGAGGCGGGAGGCTGTTTGATGGAGTAACTACCCGGAGAGTCGAAGTCGATGCTAATCATGCAAGTTACAGATATTGGGTCCAGAGAAGATGGGAAAATATGGCACAGAAAATCAGTATCATCAAAATATGGGTAAGTGTGATATAACCAGCTTGGAGCAAACTGTTTTATGCAATGAGAAGAGATTCAGTTATGCATTTATGTATTTCCAGCGTCTTGGCCACTGTGACACGAAACGCGTCTGCTCGTCAAACCAAGACGGTTCGATTCCTGCAAGTGGCTTTTGACACCACAGGAGAGTCGTTTCTTGCTGGTGATCATCATGGCAACATTTATGTGTTTGACATTAGCAGAAACAGGTAGACTATATTTTCCCCTTTTATCGTTTAATACGCGTTCAGTTCTGTTGCTTTATCACAATTCTCGTATGTGTCTTAACGTTCATCGTTCGACAGATTTAAGCTGGTCCAGAAAACAGGCCAAGCATGCACTGCTTTAGCGTTTAACTTGAGAAGAACCACAGAGTTCCTGGTTGCTCTGGCTGATTATTCCATTAAGTGCTTTGACAAAGGTAAGACCCATTATTATATTTTTCTCATAAAGGCCTGCAAATGGTTAACTGGTCTTCTAAGAAGCTTAAACTACTGTTTCCAGACACCAGACAGCCAGTGAGCTGGATGCGGGGTCACGAAGGTGCCATTTCTTCCCTGTCCATCCACAGTTCAGGCAGCTACGCCATCAGCACTTCCTCAGACACTGCTCAGCTCTGGAACCTTGACACCTTTAAGAGAAAGAGGAAGCTTAATGTTCGTCAATCAGTTGGCATACAAAAGGTTTGACGTCACTTATCTGTGCTAAAGCATTATATTATGGTAACAGCTCTGCATCATTCCCTCATTCCTGTGGGGGTTTTTTTTGTAGGTGTTCTTTCTCCCACACAGCAACACCATTCTCAGTTGCTTTAGTGACGACTCCATTTTTGCTTGGGAGAGCGACACTCTTTTTTGCAAGTATGAGCTGCCTGTTCCACAGGATGGGCCCAGAATACACTACAGGACATTTGCTGTTACGCAGTAAGGCTGTAACACTTAGACCCTAAATTGGCGAAGCTCCAACTGGTTTTGTATGTAATCATTTTGTTTCATTGTAGAGATGGGAAAACACTTGCTGCGGCTGGACGCTCTAACTTAGTCCATTTGTGGTGTCTGGACAGTCGACAGCTCTTGAGAGTAATACAAATGCCTCCAAAAGTCAAGACAGTAAGATTTGTGGATTTCCTGCCAGATAGTTTTGATGGCGGATCCAACCAGGTACTGATCAGTAGTCTGCTAACCTAAAAAACATATTTGTTATTAAAAACATTCATTTTATGTACGTTTACTGTGTAACATGTAATCTTTATGGTTTGCTTTCAGCATATTGTGCCCTTGTTAGAGAAATTATCTCATTTCTTTTCTAACACTCAGTCATTAATGAGAAGAATAACAACTGATGAACTTGAAAAGTTCATGAAAAGTTTGCCCCTATTGTCCAGTTTATACGTTGGAAATAACTCGTACTGTAATATTCTCTCCTCAGATTCTGGGTGTTTTAAGCCAAGATGGCATCTTGCGCTTTATCAACATTCAGTCATGCAAGCAGTTCTTTGAAATAGGGTCCCATGAGGACGCCATCACATTGGCAGCCATTTGTCCTAAAGGCCACCATATTGTTGCTGTGATGGACAGCGGTGCTCTCAGAATATATGATGTACGAAGCCTTACCCCAGAAATCAGTAAGGTAAATTCTTATTTATTGTTCTATTTCAAATAAATGCTGTTCTTTTGAACTTTCTAGTATTAATCAAAGAATCCTGAAAAAATCTTCCGTATTTCTTGAGCACAAAATCAGCATATTCGAATGATTTATGAACAATCATGTGACACTGAAGACTAGAGTAATGGAGTAATGGTGACGGCTTTGCTATCACAGGAATGAATTACATTTTTATAATATATTAAAATAGAAAAAAGTTGTTTTAAATTGTAATAATATTTGATATTTTAATAAATACAGTAAAAATAGTAATATTGTGATCAAATAAATGCAGCCTTGATGAGCATTAGAGACTTATTTCAAAAAAAATTTAAAAACACGAACCAACCCCAAACTTTTGAATATATGTTGGTATAATGTATGTGTGTTATATACTTTTTTGTTTGTGTAGCCTCCCCAGCCTTTGTTGAAACGGGTCACTAAAGGCAAAAGCAGTGAGGGATCGTGTTTGAAAAGGAAGGTTTATGCTGGGGCAGGTCAGCATGTGAAAACATCAGGACGCAGAATCCAATCCAAAGTTTTACTATCTGCTGTTTTCACACTGGATGACAAAGAGGTTCTGTTTATATTCAGTTTTGTTCAATATTTTAATTAATTCATTTTTTTTATTTGGGGGTTGGGTGCCTATGACACCTTCTGTATTGCTTTTTCAAGACATTCTCTTTTATTTAACAGCCCCTTATTTAACTTCTGACCCAGTTATAATCATATCTAATTCATCTGTTTTGTGTAGAATGATTTGCCTAATGGCCTTAACAAGAAAAGACTACAAGCGTTACTAAGAGCATTTGGAGAATACCCAGCCAAATACAGGTAATGTAATAAATGTGTCATGCAGAAGCAATGATATTTTGTTGATTTAATGTGAAGCTGTAGTCTGCGTCTCCACTTTATTTGTGTGTGTGTGTGTGTGTGTGTGTGTGTGTGTGTGTGTATTTGTTTTTCCGGCAGGATGTTTATTTGGCGTTCTCTATTGCATCTATCTGAGAACCATGCAGCTTTCAGCAGTCTGACTGACAAAGGCCTGCACTCAGCGTACGTGTGCCTTCAGGAGCACTACCCCATCAAAAGCCACAAACTACAGAGAGGCCTACAGAGGTGGACAGCATCAATCAATTGATGATTTAATTGTATATATATAGATTTACCCACTATAATATTATGTCAAAATCTTAAATTACATTCAAGTGTCATATATATATTCATCTTTTAATTTCTGACCTGGCAGAGTGCTGTCTGCTCTTGCTCATTGGGCTGCTGTCTTTGGCGAGACTGATTATCTCCCTCTGCTGGCTTTCCCATTTGTCAAGCTGTTCCAGAACAATCCACTGATCTGCTTTGAAGTAGTGGCCACTGTCATTGGTAGGTAGTGCAAGACAGTAGTGTAGTGTAGTGACATACCACTGGTCTCTTTGGCTGTGATTCAACGATTTGGTCCATAGCTGAGAGACTTTAAGTGTCTTGAATTGCTCTTTTACAGTGAACTGGTGCCAGCACTGGTTTGAGTACTTTCCCAACCCTCCGCTTAATGTGCTGAATCTGGCTGAGAATGTGCTGGCCCATCATGATAAAGAGCTGCTTCAGCATTTTGTTGCCTGTGGTGTTACCTCACAGGTAAAAGACTTCAACATAAGTGTTTATATGATATAGACTTTGACTTTCAAAGAATTTAATCTTGAAGCCAAAGATAAAGTGAATGCCCTACACACTGTGCTTTTCCTCTCCAGCTGTATGCATGGCCTCTTCTTGAGACCCTGTTCTCTGAGGTTCTGATGACAGAAGAGTGGCTGAAACTGTTTGACAATGTTTTCTCAAACCACCCCTCATTTCTTCTAATGGCTGTGGTGGCATATGTCACCTGCTGCAGAGCACCGCTACTGCTTTGTACTGACAAGAAGGACTTTGAGGTATAACATCAGACATTTTTAAGCGGTTTTTACAGTTACTAGCCATTTGAAAAATGTTATGAAGAACAAATTTGGCTTATCAAGACAAGTTTATTCCATTTAGGGGTGTTTATTATTATTTATTTATTTTTATATAAATAATAATATAATAAAACATAATCATCATAAATAAATAAATGGTGTCTGTAAAATATTAAGACACATTAAATCAATCAAAAGTGACAGTAAAAACTTACATTGTTACAAAAAAATCTATT